ATACGGACGGGGCCTCCCGGCGTCCGCATCGCTCACGGACCGGGTCCGGCACGGAGGATGTGCACTGCAGGTGAGAACCTCGTCTGGAGGGCTGCTTGGCCAGGTCTGTGCCCACGCCTGGTGGAAGCCGAAACCTGCGCGGGTGGCGTGCAGACTGACACCCTCCAGCTCTAGTTCCCGGGTCCGCTCTGCCTTTGCCCCTAGAGGAAGCCAAGTGACAGAGCAGCTTGGCCGCGACCCTGCGGGTTCCAGGAAGGGGATATGGACACGGGTGTCCCGGTCAGAATAAGGTGCGCTGAGAAAAGGCATCCACGTGTTCAAGGAGTTTCCAGGAGCTCCTCGAATTTGCATGTGCCCCGGCCCACCATTCATTAGGGAGTGAAATCCGCCACGCCGGTGCAGATGAGGCTCATCCTGGTAACAGGTAGCTGTGCCTGCCGGCTAAGGGCAGGTGGTGGGTCCGCAGTCTCGCGGGCTGACTCAAGAGTTCGAGTTGGAACTACAGGTGGTGCAGATTCTAGCCTTGCCGCCGAGTCTCCCTGGGCAAAATGATGAGCCTCTAAGATTCAGTCTCTCCATCAGCAGAATGAAGTCATTCCTAAAACCTGTCTCCAGGTTGATCTGAGGAGCCAGGAGGGAGCACCTGTAAAGCGCTCAGCGCAGGTCCTGACAGTCACGAAGCACCTGGGAAATGTTACTGCCCTTTTCACTGTTCTTTCCATGAAGTGTATTGTTTGTTCTCAAAGACCCCCTGTGAAATCGGGGTTAGTCACCCCGTTTTAACCAAACAGTAAGCCGAGCCTGGAGGTGACGTTTCATGGCCAGTAATGGAAGGAGCTGGCGTGGGATCCTCAAAGGGCTTGATTTCCGCGTCCCAGGCAGGGTTTGCCCGGCAGCATGTCCTTCACAGCGCTCAGCCGAGGGGCACTTCCTTGGAGCCGCAAGGAAGGGCCTGGAGTGTGTGAGGACTGAGCCTTCCCTAGAGGCTCTTGAGGATTCTTGGTGTCTGCACAGAACCCTCGGGTTACTGCACAATTGAGCCTTCTAGACTCTTCCTTCATGGTCTGTCTGCCCTGTGCCCTCAGCAGTTTACAGACCCCTCAGTCATGCTTTCTGGCAGTGGTTCCCAGCATGCATCAGAATCACCTGGAGGCCTTGTTAAAACCCAACAGCGGCCTGGTCCCACCCCCAGAGTTTCTGGGTCAGTAAGTCTAGGGAGGGACCCAAGAATTTGCATTTCTACCAAGTTCCCAGGTGATGCTGCTGGTGCTGCTGGTCTGGGACCACACTGTGAGAGCTGTTGTAGGGGGTGGTGAATTCCAAGAGACGTGGGCCAGGGCTGAAGATTCCAGTTCATTGAATTTACCCCTTCTGGCCAGGTCCACATTTCCCTGATCACTCAGCTCTTGGGAGGAAAGAGGGTGAGAACTGGAGCAGGACTCCCACCTGGGGGATCCCCACCCTCCCCAGATGGGCACCAGGGCAGAGATCCGAGGAACAAGCAGGGTCTGTATTCGCTTGCTCAGAAGCACTTCCCCATCCTCCTGCCCTGAGGTTGTCAAGGCGCAGAGAACTGGTCCTTGGTTTGTTGTTGTTGTTGTCAGTCAGTGAAAGCAAGGGCCAACTTTCCAGAGAGGTCAGCAGGGCTGAGGATGGGGCAACAGGCAGGCTTCGTGGGAAGGGAAACCCTGTGGACAGGATGGTGAGGACATGGTCTGGGAGGGAGGCCAGGGAGACTATCTCTACTCCTCCCAGGAAACCCTCCTGCATCGATTCTCTCATCCCTCTCCCGGGATCCTGCCCAGGCCTTAAACCATGCACATTGCCACATCTGGAATTTAGGGCTATGCCACCCACCTGCCATGCCTGCCTTCATAGCAGCACAGGAAGGGTTTTCCAGGGCTCTATCATCCTGCCTCATTTTAAAAGTGAACAATATGGGGCCTGAGGGAGTCATTGGCATAGGGTTAAGTACAAGGTTTCTGGAGCCAGACTGCCAGGGTTCAGAGCCTGGCTCTACCATATTATTTTAACGCTCTCCCCCTCAATTTCCTCTATAAAGTTGGAGTAATAAGAGCACCTACATCTCGCTTTATTTTAAGGAATAAACGGGGTAACTCTATAAAGTACTTAGAACAATGCTATTGCATGGTGAGCAATATGCAACTATTGTCAGTATCATTAATGTTATTACACCTGGATTATTAAACTATTGTCAGTATTGTTAATGTTCTTACACCTGCATTATTATCTCCATTTACATTGTTCATTAGTGGCAGAACTAAAAGGAGCACCAAGGTCCCCTGACTGCAAATCCCAAGCCACGGTTTTGTCCATCACGTCTCAGTTAAATCAAAGCAAGTGTCTTAATAAAAAGTCCTTTGGAGACACTGCAAACCAAGGAGAACAAATCTTCTTTCCAAAACAAAAAAGTAGATTTTCTTAAAGCACACCCATTCCTGTTGTCAGAGGTTCCGATTAATTCTTTAACCACAAGGAGTTAAAAACATACATATAAAAGTACATGAGCAGATTCTATCAGGTTTTTATTGTGGTGTCATCTTCTATATTTTTAATGGAAATATTTAAAACATACAAAATAAAGAAAACTATATAATGACTCCCATATACTTGTCATAGCTTCAACAATTTTCAAAATATGGGCCATTTTATTTCATCTATCTATACTTCCCCAACAGACACACACACACACACACACACACACACACACTCTTACACTCCCCACCTTCCACCTTCCTCTACTGGATTATTTTAAAGTAAATCCCAAATATCAAAATAATTCAGAATGTCACATGTTTCATAATGGACCAAAGGGGTGGCATGTTGTCCTTCCTATGCTACGATTTGTGTAACCAGGTCTTAGTTGGACTTTGCCTTGTTGTATATTTGTCGGCTATTGTATCAAGGGAGGTTATACCTTGTAAGAAACCAATAAGAAACAATATGTACCCTCCCCAGCAGAAGGCCTGCCTCTCTGAGCTCCTCCTGGCTAGCCCAGGGTTTCCAGAGGCCCCTCGACATACCTGCCCTGCCTGAGGGTCAGAGACATTCCCCGCTGTGCGCTGTGGCACTAATCCGTGTGGATTTCTGGACAGTGCCATGAGGACTTCAAGGTAGACCATAGTTCCCATGAAACCTTTTCTCTTTTCCTTTCTCCAGCTCTGCCTTCCCGGTTCTCCACAGTCTTCCAGGGGCGGAAGAAAATGAACATATCCGAGGTGAGTTGTTTACTTACTACCGATTTTTTTTCCCTGTGAAATCTAAGAGTTCCTTTGCATTTTCAGTAAACACATTTTATTATCAGCTTTGTTTTTCTTTATTTTTACCATTTCCTGCATTATTATTTTCCTTTCCTTTCTTAATCTTCAGTAGTTGCCAAGGTCTACATTTTCTTTTTATTCTACTATTGATTACCTTTGATGTGGTTAGCACAGATGTAAACATATGTGTCTCTCCACATCAGGAATGGTTTTTATAGTACCATCCAAATAGGATAGACTCCTCCCTCATCTCAAGCTCTGTGGAAATAATCTAATGCTTTTCTTTTTTCTCTTTTTTTAATATAATAAATATTATTTTGGGAGATTTTAGTTAACAGTTGCATCACACCTTTTTACTACTTGGATAATAATTATTTAAACGTTAGCATCCATTTTCTGATTATTTTTGCAGTCCCAAGGTTGAAGGCAAAGTGACAAAATACTAATAATTGGCCAGTTATAGTATTACCTACAATTTAGGGCTGCTTATTATGTTCTAGTCACTGTTAATTTTCCTACCCGGATTAGCTCAGATAATGCTGATGTTATGGGATAGGTACTTACTTTTGTTTTGTCTATTTTGTTTAGGTAGGTACTTTTATTATGCCCCTTTTGGAGGATATAAGTAACAGATTTAAGTAACTTTTTAAGAGCCTGTAGCTGGAATAGTTCTAAGGACACATCGTTAGACATTTGGCCAGAAAGACAGTTGAGGCCACATTCACTGCAAGCTCTCCACGCACTGTTGACTGTAAGTTATCATCTGCTTATGGTTCAACTTGATCAAGAGCTTGGGAGCTATCTTAGGTGTAGGGTTGCCAGAGAAGACACGGGGCATATAAAACAAAGTATATCCTGCATGGGACACGCATATACCAAACACTTATTTGTTGCTTATCTGAAGTTCAAATTTAACTGGCAACCCGTGCTGACCAATGGGGCTGGTGGTCCTAGCTCAACCAGGGGCCCTGACCTTCCCTGTCTTCTATGGCGGATTGCATTACCCCACCCCAGAGGGCCTGTCGTTGAACCGACGAGGCCACTGTAGCATCACCGTCAATCCCTGTAGCAGCTCCTCTTCCAAAGTTTCAGGAATTCTCAGGCGTGGTTCCCACAGCTTTGTCAAAAACTATAAAACGTTGCCCACATACCCTTTATAAAAAGCTTTTAAAAAAACGTTTCCTGTTCAGTTAGCCCCATGCCCTCTTCCCTTTCACACCTGTAAGCCACCCACGGTCAGTCCTTTCTGATCTACCGGAGCCAGTTCTTCAGCCCTTCTCTCTTCCACCATCATTCCTGGAAGCCAGGTCTTCTTCCTGAGGTTCTGCTGAGTTTTGACAGAGACCCCTGGAGGGTTGCACGGAATGACTGCGTGCTTACATGCCTTCTGAGGCTAGGTATCTGAAAGTGCCTTTATTCTGCCCCGTTACATGAATGGTTGATTGCTTACAGAATTTGGGTTTGAAATCCTTTTCTTCAGAGCATTAGGAGAAAAGATCATCTCCATTGTCTCCTGGCATTTGGAAAGACGTGGAGAAGTCGTGTGGCAGTTTATTCTCGTGTGTGTGTGTGTGTGTGTGTGTGTGTGTGTGTGTGTGTAGGTAACCTGTTTTGTTTTTCCTTCTTGCAAGTTTGTCTTTACCCTCAGGTTTCAGATGTTTCACCACGCGGTGCCTGGTTATTTGTTCTTTTTTCAGGCTGCCTGCTCAGTAATTGGATGGTCCTGTTAGGACAAGACTCATGCCTTCGGGATGTTTTCCGTTACTTCTCAGATGGTTTCTCCTTCCCTCCAGCTCTTTGTTCTTGTCGCCCAGAAATCCCATTAGACTGTCAGTGCCTCTCCAGCCGGCGTCTGTGATTTCTTACTTTTCTTTCATCATTTTCGTCTTTCTGTGTTTTTTGTTCTATGTGTTGAGAGATTTGCTCATTTTTGTCACCTGTATGATTTGGTTTTCCAGCCTTCTCTCGAGAGTTTTGTTTTTCTGTTTTCATAAGTCAGCAATAAAATATTTAGGGTCTGTGGACTTCTTTTTACACACTTCACTTTTCTCATTTCATAGAAGATTCTTTCATCAATTTCGGAACTTCTATTGGAATTCTTAAAAGTTATTCTCTTTGATCGGGGAATTAAACTTGTTTTCATGGTCTTCAGTCTGTTCTCAGTATTTACCTTTCAGGCTGCTGATTTTTATTGACAGGAGATTTGTTTAACAGTCTTCAAGTCTGTTCTTGAGGCTCCTTTTTCAGATGGTTGTTTTTCCGCCTACATTGAGGCCTTTTTTGTCTTCTGTGTGAAAAGAAAGGTAAAACCCTCATTATATCAATTTGGTAGCTGATGTGTGTTACTTGGCAACCAGAGGCCTGTTTCCTTGGCAAGCTTTTCACTGGAATGAAAGGATGATTCGGGGTCTCCCACATGAATACTTGGGACATGTGTACAGACTGGCTTCTCTTTAGTCTGTACAGAGGGGGACAAAGCTCGAGGGGACCCCGTTTCCCCTGCCAAATGGGGCAGTTCCTTACCTGAGCCTATTAGTCTGTTTCCCTAGAGTTGCCTTAAAAGAAAAGCTGTGACTGTATCAGGGTGCTAAGCACCGTACTCTGTCTCTTGGGTTGCAGAGTTCATGCAAACACGTGGAGGCAGTTCCCTGCCTTTTATAGAGACCTGGCCTCCTGAGTGTTAACCCTCAGCTATCCCCTGAGCAGGGAACGAGGGGGCGGTCCTTCTGTTACTCCTGCTCCCTCTTCTGCGGCCCCACCCACGTCCACTAGAGTTTCCTGAGCTGGGAGGTCTCGCCAGGCTTTGCGCAAACCTGAGCCTTTGCCACACTCTGTATTAAGGGGTGAGCACAGAGCTGCCACTATCTCCCTCCTCCTCTACACCTTCCAGAAGCCAGTCAGCGTTTCTCACTTGCTGCCATCCTCTTTCCCAACACGCCTCTGTTCTGATACACATATTAGTGTTTTTATATCTCTCCTTGCTGTAGTTTCAGAGACAGAGGAGATGTGTGTGTGTGTGTGTGTGTGTGTGTGTGTGTGTGTGTGTGTCCAGCCCATTGCATCGAGTTAGGAGAGCACTTATTCTTGAAATTGTCACCACCAGACAGCATTTATTTGACGGCTGCTTTTGGGGCACCACAGTGAACCAGACCAGGACTGTTCTAGATGCCGCAGATACAGCTGCTAACTCCTGGTTCCTGTTCCTTCGTAGTCACCAGGCCCGCTGGCCTTGCCCTGCTGCTCCCAGGCTCTGTCCCCTTGGTCTCCAAGCTCTGTGTGAGCAAGGTCCCTGTTCGGATGGCTTCTGCTACCACTGAGATGTTCCTGGTTTCTAAAAATACATCCTAACCCTACACTTTCTCCTGAGCCCCAGCTGTCACCTCAACGTCTCCACCTGTGGGTGCCACGGACGCCTTCAGTATAACATGTCCAAGAGTCAGCTCTCTCTCCTCCGGCCCAATCTGCCCCCTCTCCTACTTTGCCAATCTCAGTATCTGGCATCAGCATTGACCCAGCTGCTCTGGCACTTATCTGGGACTACTGCTCCTTTCCCCGCCCTCATTCCATAACCAATTACTGACTAATTCCATTTAGAATCAGTTCCCACTTCTAAATCCTTTTGCTGCTACGTTAAAGTAGGTGGTCATCTCTTTTCATAGTCTATTACCTTCCTCTCTGACTTCTCTTGGAAGCAGGCTTTCTTAACCTTCAACACTATCAATATTTTGGGCCAGATAATTATTTTTTTAAAAAACAAATAACATGTTTTTATGGATTTTTAGAGAGAGAGAGGAAAGGAGCGGGATAAAGAGATAGAAACATTAATGAGAGAGAAACATCACCCATCAGCTGCCTCCTGTACACCCTGCAACCTGGGCATGTGCCCTGACCAGGAATTGAACCAGTGACCTCTTGGTTACTGGGTCGATGCTCAACCACTGAGCCACACCAGGCAGACCAGATAAGTGCTTGCTGTAGAGGCTGGCCTATGCATTGTAGGATATTTAGTAGTATCTCTGAACTCTACCCACCATAAACCAGTAGCACCCTTTCCTCAGTTGTGACAACCAGACATGTCTCCAGACATTGCCAAATCCCCCATGAGTGGCAAAATTATGTCTGATTGAGAACCACAGCTTTGAAACACCTTGCACTTGGCTTCTAGAACACTACTTTCAACTTATAATTCTGATGTGTCACTTGTTTACATGGCCCCATCGTCCTCAGAAGCAATCTCCAAAGCAGGCATGTTGGCCCCAGAGAACTGCACAATCAGGTCTTACGTGGCCTGTAAATAAAGTTCTAGAATGCACTTTTATGTTTCTTTTGTATCTAAAAAGCTCAGGAAAGGTAAGCTTTACTTTTGGTGTATGGCTGGAGAGTCATAGACATCTAGTATAATTTATAAGAAATACCCAGCAACTTTTTAAAAAATATATTTTTGATTGATATCAGAGAAGAAGGGAGAGGGAGAGAGCACGATAGAAATATCAATGATGAGAGACAGTCATTGATTGGCTGCCTTCTGCAAGCCCCCACTGGGGATCAAGCCTGCAAACCTGGAGAAAGACCCGTAACTCTTACTGATGGGGTGACCAAGTATTTGGAGGCCACTGCTCTATAGAGGAAAGTCCAAAATTTCTCCATGTCTGACCACTAAATACCTCCTACTATTCTATGTCTCATCAAAGCCTCCCACCTTATTCTATCACGCTGTACTACTTGCAATCCCCTTAACCGAATGTGCATTTTTAGTGTGTCTATATCTTTGCTTATACTGTCTCTTATTCACACAAAACTCACTGTTTGTGTGCAACCACATCTTTATCTCCTCAATGCAGCATAACCTGAGAAAACACACAAAGAAATGTAACCCTCTCTCCCCTTTGTGACCTCACTCTGTCCACGCAGTTTTTCATGGCTCCCATAATTCACTGTTGCACATGTCTATTTCTGTAGAAATTCGCCTCACCAGTCTGTAAATGCCTTAAGAACAGGACCAGTGTCTTATTTTCCTTGGCGTCCTCCAAAACCAGAACAGTTCTAGGCAGGCAGAGGAACTCAGGTTGCTTTATGAATTAATAAACAAGCATGGCAGCAGAGCATTTCTGTTATGATTTCTGTCTTTCCCACAAGTACTTAGACATCCCTTGTAATATTGCCTGGTAAACTTTTAACGGTGAGCACAGTCGGATTCGTTCCCAGATGTCTTTCTCATGCCCTCTGGTCTTGAGCACTTCAGACTGAGCAGCATTGGGCTATTACAGGGGTCGGTGTCGTTCGAGGATATAGCTGTGGCCTTCACCCGGGATGAGTGGCAGCTGCTGGACTCTGCTCAGAGGCACCTGTACAGGGTCGTGATGCTGGAGAACTACAGGCACCTGTTGTCCCTGGGTAAGCGCAGCCCCATGCAACTCCCAACAGCATGCACTTCCTTTCTTAGGAACCACATCAATGTAGAATATTATCAGTTCTCAGCTTGAGAATTCGGATTAAAAGATCCTTTTAAGGAACTTGAAAGAATATTGTATTCTCACCTCCCCAGTGAAAGAGTCTTTTTCGACGAGGGCTCCATCACTGTTCACCTTCTAAAGCTTCTCCCTTCTGATTCCTCAAAGGGCCTGAACCCTAAGAAACGTTGCCAAGTCCCCTGTCATTTCCCATAACAGGGCACTGTGTCACCACACCTGAGCTGATATTCAAGTTGGAGCAAGGAGAAGAACCATGGATAGTAAAGGGAGAGTACCCGAGTCAGAGCCATCCAGGTGAGTTAATGAAGTCAGGTCAAGGCAACTGGTAGAAACTGAATCCCAAGAGTCCAGGTCAAGGGTTGGTATCTTTGAAATATGTTTCAGAAATCTCTTATAGAGGCTCCACTTTTAGACATGACTAAAGACAAATAAGTACCATACCTTAGCTATGAAACCTCCAAATTTCACTTTCACATACAATTTTTAAATTTTCTGTTTCACATGTATAGAGAGAGATTTGCTTGGTTTTTGTGGCATCCATTTGCTGCCTCCCTCATCTTAGACCTTTATTTCTCTGTTTTCCTCTCTGTTCAACAATGGCCATTGTTCACCTTCCCACCAGTGCTACACACTCTATAGCAGGGGTCCTCAAACTACGGCCCGCGGGCCACATGCAAATACAAATATTGTATTTGTTCCCGTTTTGTTTTGTTTTTTACTTCAAAATAAGATATGTGCAGTGTGCATAGGAATTTGTTCATAGTTTTTTTTAAACTATAGTCTGGCCCTCCAACGGCCTGAGGGACAGTGAACTGGCCCCGTTTAAAAAGTTTGAGGACCCCTGCTCTATAGAGATGCATTTATTGATACATTCTTTTATTCAACAAATATTTAGGTATTTAATGCCTGCTGTGCACCAGTCACATTCCAAGCACAGGGGTACAAAAGCAAAGTCTCTAGTCCTATCAGTAGACCTGGTGAGCAGAGAAATATGCAGTATGCCTGGTGGTAACCAGCACCCTGAAAGTTAAAGTCAGGTGAAGGGGATAGAGATTGGCAGGGAAGTCAGGAATGGCCTCTTTGAGGAGGAAGAAAAGTGGAATGGAGGGAGACATGGGTTACCTGAGAGATTTCCAGATGGAGGGAGCAGCCGGAGCCAAGCCTCTGAGACAGGAGTGCCCTTGGTGTAATCAGGGAACACCAAGGAAGTCAAAGAGGGTTTATTGAAGAGAAATTAGCAGGTGATTACAGAGAGTTACCTGGGGGCAAAACTTTTCAGGCCTGGTAAAGACTGAATTCTACTGTGAGGGAAACAATGGGTAAGAGAAGAAGTCAAGAACTATGCCCTTCAGCACTACATTTGCAAGTCAGGAAGACACGGGCTTCTAGCAAGAGAGACTGAGAAGGAGCACCCACTCTATAGGGGGAGAGTCAGGAGAGAGGGGTGTTCAGAAGCCACATAAACAGTGTTTTCTGAAGGAAGGAGTGGATTCCAATATACAGATGCAAGTGTAAAGTCAGCCTTGTCCCTTCTTTTCCTGAAAATTACCCAGAGGCCACAAGGAGAAAAGTCAACTCTATATTTGTTGTAGGTGAGAGGCAGCTGAAATCTCAAACATAAGAATAACAAATTTTAAAGGTGGAAAACTGCCAAAAGCAATGGACATCAGGAAGTAGATCATGGAAGTAGAAGTGCTTAGGAAATAGTGTGAGAACATATTGTACAGATAGTATTTACTTGTAATATTTATCACAAATGGAATTTTAAAAAGTGAGGAGATATATATATAACATACTTTATTGATTTTTTACAGAGAGGAAGGGAGAGGGATATAGAGAATTAGAAACATCGATCAGCTGCCTTCTGCACACCCCTACTGGGGATGTGCCCACAGCCAAGGTACATGCCCTTGACAGGAATTGAATCTGGGACCCTTCAGTCTGCGGGCCGATGCTCTATCCACTGAGCCAGACCGGTTAGGGCAGAGGATATATATTTTTTAAACAACAGGAAAGTAGCATTGCCCTGAAGGATGCCTGGTTCCAAGAAGAGCTAAGGATGGAATGTGTGCTAAATCAGTGAAGAACATGAAAGTGGGTTTGTGTTTGGAAATGCGCAATATATGGGATTAAATATCTGATTTTGTAGAAGCTAACAATATTGTAGACTTGTGGGATGATCATTTGAACATGTACTGTGAATTTAGGCATATGAAACTAGTATCAACTCTTAAGTATAAACATTCAACATCAAATTTTTCTCTATCTGCTACAGAAAAGTCATAAGCTTTTAAACACACAGCTGATATTATTGAATAAAATGAGAATAGCAGAGGATAACAATAATTACCCAAAGCCAAAAATTTTTAAGATGAAAATTAGTATTGGTCCTAGGATCAAGTTGAATAGCTAGGTACTTGAGCTCCCACAGACAAGGAGAAATCAGAGAGGAAGAAAACATGACATAAACGTGGAAATAAATATTAGTATTGTGACTGCAGACTGAAAGTGGAAAAAGTAGAGTGTCAATCGGGACAGATTATATTGATTAACTCTGATAGCTCAAATGATAGCACCAGCAATCAAAACACAGGGGAGTTGGATCCTGTTGTAAGCATGGCTTGTCCTCTCATATATTTTAACATTCTCTTTGGACATTGTTTTTCCATATCACAGCTACATGGAGAGATGGGGCCAGAACTATAGGACTGACCTTTAGACCAGAGGAAATGAATGATTTTATAAATATATGTGTGAGTTGGTATACAGAATGGGAAAGAAGAGAAAGAGATTAGAAGCATGTAGACTGTAAGAAGGATCCTGCTGCATTATTTAAAGCATAAGGAGAGGAGGATAAGGTTCTAGTCTTTAATCTGCCCCCAAACTTAACCTTTGCTCTGATATGTCCCTTGGTCACCCTTTAGTCTTCCTTGCCTCCCTACTCAGTGTCCCTTATCTTCGCCCCATTCTTTGACTAACCTCCATCCTTGGATCAGTTGTTTTCCTGACATCCTTTGTTCTCAGTTCACCATTCCTTCTGCTTTATTTCAAACTCTCTACCTATTTTAATGTTATATTATAACAAGCCAAACCTACTGGATTAATTTTCAGCTTTTTCTCTCTTTTTCTACTATGGTATGTGTTTTTGTCTTTGTTTTCATGTTACCAAACAAAAGAGTTAAATATTTGCTAAAGAGTTCTTTCATCCCAGAAGACTATGTCTAAAATCTAAGAATCAACTCAATATAGGGCACTTGTATACAACTCTATTGCTTTAAGAATATGTTAAGATTTATAATGTATGTTAATTTTTAATATTTATAGAAGTCCAGAAAGTCAATAACATGAAAGAGAGGAGCCAAGAAAATGAAGATATATATCCAAAGCAAGCTTTATTCAGCAACAACAAAACAATGACTAAGGAGAGAAGTAAAACCTTAGGAGAAGAATTTAATATGGCCACAAACCCAGTGTCTTCAAGAAAAATATCTCATAAATGTGACTCATTTGGAACAAACTTGAAAAGTGTTTCAGAATTAATTCTTAGTAATAGAATCCATGCAATAAAAAAGCCCGATTTCAATGGGTGTGTATTCCTTGATACTATGCATGAGAAAACTCATACAATGAGCAAGCCCTGTGACAATGATCAAAAGAATTCCCACAGTCATAATGATTACTTTAGTCAACATCAGAAGAATTCAGCTTCAGAGCAACTTCTTACATATAATAATTGTGGGAAAGCCTTTCACGAAAAACCAGCCTTTGTTACATATAAGAGAGTTCCCACAGGAGAGAACCCCTCTGAAGGTAAAAAACATAGAACAACCTTCAAGCAAAAGCTAAAGTTCGGTGCTTATCTGAGAACCCTGAGGGAAAGGAAGCCACACGAATCCAGTAAAAATGGGAAATCTTCATGGGTAAAGTCAAAACGTGCACATCAGAGAACTCATATAGGGGAGACATACTCCGAATGTAATAAATTGGAGAAATCCTGTAGCAAGAAGTCAAACCTTACTCAACATCAGAGAATGCACACAGGAGGAAAATCTGATGAGTATAATGAAAGTGAGGAGGCCTTGCAGAAGTCATGCCACACTCAAGATGAGAGAACTCACAGAGGAAAGAAAACCTATGACTGTAATAAATGTGGGAAATCCTTCCATGAAAAGTCATGCCTTGCTCAACATCAGAAAATTCATACAACAGAAAAACACAGTGAGTGTAATGAAAGTGAGAAAGCCATAAAGAAGTCATGCCTCACTCAAAACCAGAGAATTAACACAGGAGAAAAAAGCTTTGAAGGTAATAAGTGTGAGAAATCCTCCTGCAAAAAGTTGAAACTTGGTCAACATCAGAGAACACACTTGAGGAAAATAACCAATAAATGTAATGAAAGTGGGAGGGCTTTAAGTTATAAGTCAGACCTCACTCAAAATCAGAGTGTTCACAAAGGAAAGAAAACCTATGACTGTAATAAATGTGGAAAAATCTTCCATAAGAAAACAGACCTTACTCAACATCAGAGAACACACATAGGGAAAAAACCCTATGAATGTAATGAATGTGGAAAGTCCTTCTTTGTGAAGTCCAACCTCACTGAACATCAGAGAACTCACACGGGAGAAAAACCATATGAATGTAATGAATGTGGAAAATCCTTCTGCCAGAAGTCAGCCCTCACAGTGCACCAGAGAACTCACACGGGAGAGAAACCGTATCGATGTAATGAATGTGGGAAAACCTTTTGTGTGAAATCAAACCTTACTCAACATCAAAGGACCCACACCGGAGAGAAACCCTATAAATGTGATGAGTGCTGGAGGTCTTTCTGTGTGAAGTCTAACCTTGTTGTACATCAGAGAACTCATACAGGAGAGAAACCCTACAAATGTCCAGAATGTGGGAAAACTTTCTATGAAAAGTCAGCACTCACAAAACATCAGAGAATTCACACAGGGGAAAAGCCCTATGAATGTCATGAATGTAGCAAAACCTTCAGCCAGAGGTCAGCCCTCACCAAACATCAAAGAAGAACACACAAGAAGAAAACTCCTGTCAACACTCTCCATGGGAGGGAGCCTGCATGTACAAGTCAAACTTATTGAACATCAGCAAGTTGCAGGACAGAAATGCTAAGATGTCAGTACATAGGGAAGTCTTTATCAATAGGTTACAGCTAATTGAAATGAGAGGATTAATATAGGAGTGTAACCCTTTGTATACTTGGAGTGCATGAAAGCTTTCAACAAGTACTCAAAGATGTTGAGGGGAAATATGTCATTTTAAGGAATATGAATTAAAATGTTATTGTAGAAATATTGTGTAACTAGAGATCATATTTCAGATGTAACACCAAACTTGTTACAGAAAAGATAACAGAAAATATTCAGTTTTAAATGGGATGTGACATGTGGAGCTTTTGTATCCAATTATTAACTGACTAGAAGCCCGGTGCACAAATTCATGCACAGGTGGGGTCCTGCTGGCCCAGCTCAATTGGGGTGTTGGGAGCCGATTGGGGGTCAGGCCAGCTGGGGAGTGCTGATCAGGGCCCAGATCAGGCTGGTTGGCTGCCACAGCGCATGTCATAGCCACTGGTCATTCCAGTCATTCTGATTGTTCTGCTATTCCAGTTGCTGGGCTTATATATTATATAGATATGTGAATTCAACTTGTACATATTTTTTGTGGTAACTTATTACTTTTTATTTTTATTTATGTTTACTTTGATTTTGTTTCTCTTTCACTTTCATCACTTTTTATATTTTGGTCAAGGTTCATATTATTTCTAAAAATACTAGGGAACAAAGAAAAATAATACAATCAAGAAGATCAAGAAGGCTAGGCCCAAATGATGAGTGGTGGAGATACTTGAAAAAGGTTTTGAATGCAGAAAAATAAATGAAAGGGAAAAAAATCTTAACTATGATCCTTACACCAAAACATCACTTTTGCTAACATTCTAATGCAATCATTTCAAGCCTGTTTCTTGAAAATTAAATAGTTTATAAAAAGTAATATATATGTATATACATACATACAAAGATAATAAAAGCAATACTTATATATTCATGACCCATTATGAAGTTTATTCTCTCTAAATGTAAGCCCCTTCTTTTTCTTTTCCTTATTTTATTTTATTTTTTAATATATATTTATTGACTTCATAGAGAGAGAGAAAGAGAGAGAGAAAGAGAGAGAGAGAGAGAGAGAAACATCAATGATGAGAGAGAATCATGGATTGGCTGCCTCCTGCAAGTCCCCCATCAGGGATCAAGCCCACAACCCGGACATGTGCCCTTGATCAGAATTGAACCCAGACCCTCAGTCCACAGGCCAACACTCTATCCACTGAGCCAAACTGGCCAGGGCAGCCCCTTCTTTTTCCACAGATGTAATTGCTATCCTAGATTTTCTGTTAACCATCCACTCATTTTTCTTTGTAGTTTTACTTCTTATATGTGTATCCCTGCTGAATTCTGTTTTTGAACCTTATATAACTTGGTATCTATATTTTTCCATTTTTTATTCAACATTGTCTTCAGATACAACATTCTTGATGTGTTTAACTGAGATAAATTCGTTTTTATTGGTGTATATTTCTCCCCAGTGTATCACCATACCAACATTTATTTATCTAGTCTATCATGAATGGATTTGTTGCTTTCTGGTTGTTGTTTTTTTTTTAAATTTTATAAAAATTATGCAATATTGCAATGAAAATGTTTGTGACGCGTGTGGTTGCAGATGTACACGTTTCTCTGGGACAGTGTTTTTCTGCGATGGAGCTCCTGGCCTTCCAGATGAGCCTCTTCTTCCCGCCCTTTCACTGACACATTGCAGGGTGTTTAGCACCTGTGGCTCCTCCACCCACGAAAGCCTGAAGCACCCTCAGTCAGAGTGTCAACCAAACAACCCAAATATTTCCAAACACCTTTTGGGATGCCCAGATGAAAACTATTGTTTTAATGTACTGGTATGTACCTAGAAGGGGAATTGTTGGGGCACAGGGCATGTGACTGCTGGGTTTTCACTTAAGATGTATGGGTTTCTAATTAGATAGGGGAAGACTTTTTTAGGTAAATTGGGCTGTGTATAGGTACATGTACAGGAGTGTGCTATAGAGTGTACCTATGCATATTGAAATCCACACTGTCTCTGAATCTCAACAATACAGTCTACAGGGTGTGGCAAAGTATATTTACAGTTGTGAATACATGAAACACAGAGTTTATTCTTGTATTATTATTATTGTACTAGAGGCCCGGTGCATGAAATTCATGCACGGGTAGGGTCCCTAGGCCTGGCGGGGGATCAGGACAGATTGGGGCCTTCCTTCGTTATGCGCTGCCCCCTGGTGGTCAGTGCACGTCATAGTGAGCGATAGAACTCCCAGTCTCCCCGTTGAACTCCGTGGGGACACTTTGCATATTAGCCTTTTATTTATATAGATTCTCCATACTAACAACTGTCAATCTACTTTTGCCTCGCCCTGGTAACCAATGCCTGTCTCTGATGGCACCCACAGCCCCTGGAATCTCAAGCCTAGCTTCTGGTAAACTCTAACCAGGGCCACTAAACACAAAAACAGGCTGGAGAGTCCATGAGCC